TCAGAACCAGGCTATCCGGGATATAAGACTACCTAGTTGTTAACTGTATGTTTTGGGGTGTTATTACTGTATATGTCCTGGACCTGAGAGTTAATATAATTATGCTTTGTATTTTATCTCAGTCTAATCTCAGGTCCAGTGGGGAATGCCCCTGGAATCTGTATCAGGAAACCCTTGCATGGGGATTCACATAAAAGGCAGTGTGTGGCTCCATTAAAACTAGTTATACCCCCAGAGTTGAGTGTTGTCCAGTTCCTGGGGAGGAGGTGGGAGATTCCTGGATTATTTGACTGAGTTTGGCTGTCCCCTTGGAATGTTTTACTTGCTCCAGAGTATATTTTAGAGTAACCAGAGGAGGAGAGTGCCTGCTAGGACTAGAGATCCGCTACACCATGTTTCTGTAATATAGATGGGCATAGTAAATATTAATGTATACATAATAAATGTTTTATATGTGTTTTAGAACTCCTATATATATTTATAAATTGAAACAAAACTTACAGTAACAATATGTATAATACAGCAATCTAACTACCCATTTGTTAGACTGGTGTGTGAAACTCTTCAATTTATTATTTGTGAGTTTTAAATACATTTTGGTTTTCAGGTAAAGGCACAAAATAATACAATTATAACCAAGACAATAACTACAGGAAAACACTGACACCTATGGCATTTCTACTGTAAATGACACATTGCTGTCCTCTGTGACACAACCAGGAAAGTGTCTGATAACCAGTGACTTTCCATTCCTGCAGATTACAAGGATTCGCATCTTACGTATTTATGTTATTTAATGATGTTATTTACACAGCACTCTGAGCGGATGGCCAAATAAGAATAAATACAAATCAGTTCTAGAGCAAAGTTCTCGTAGTGGTGCCGTCATTCTCAGTTATTCACTAAAGTCAGAATTCAGAAGTAAATATCACATTTAAGGCCAAAATAGCCAAACTAGAAAGATTATCTGTAAGCTATGCTTCCAATTTGGCTAATGTATCCTTTAATTTTACATTAACTCTGATATCACCACAATTCTCACTTTAGGTAAAGGGACACTATAGTCACCAGAACAACTACAGCTTATTGAATTTGTTCTGGTGAGTAGAATCATTGCCTTCAGGCTTTTTGCTGTAAACGCTGTCTTTTCAGAGAAAATGCAGTGTTTACATTACAGCCTAGTGATAACTTCACTGGCCACTCATCATATAGCTGTTAGAGATCCTTCCTGGGTCATGGCT